CTGGCAGAAGCCAATTCATGTGCTGGGGTTGAGGGACTAATCTTTCTCAACGACTGATTGAGAAATTAGGCTGGGGACATTCAAATCTGAAGCAAGAGTAAAACCATATTTCACCCATTTAAATCAACTGTACCCATCTGAGACATGTTGATATCCACCCCCATTCCCAGTAATCCAGGCAAAAAGTATTCATTAACTAGACTGAAACTTGCTAAGGAAATCACACACACACACACACACACACACACGAGTATTCTGAGTTATTTTGCCATTTTGATTTAACAAACACTCTAGTGAAGAGAACTAGGCCTGGAATCACACTTCTAACTATGTTGGCATATAATAATTAAACCTGGCCTAACTGGCCTCCAGGTGTAAGTCTAAGCACAACACAGAACCTCTGTGTGCTGGGAAGTGTGGGATGGTTCAGCACATACCTGCCCACGTGGCCACTGTCATCTTTAATCCAAGAGATGCCGCAAAGGACCAACAGAGTACTGAGGGGAAGTCTGTGGCCATGGTGGGGAGGTTGTAATCCCCGCCCCTCCACCTCCCCACCTAACATCCCTGGGCAGCCAGGCCCAGAAGCCTACTGTCTTCAGGTAAAAGACATTACCCATCAGAGGGCATTGCACGGGGGGGCCTTGTCCTTTTTCTCTGATGTCACTTGCAGCTGCTACTGCAGTTCAGGCATATCAGGAAATGAAAGAGGTTGAAAGCCAGGGAGAATTTTCTCTACGACTTGAAAAGGATACTTTTTTAAATGTTCATTCTTGGTGCTATTTAATTTTTTAAAAAAAATTTAAAGATATCTATCTTCAGCAGCCTCTTAGAACCTCCCCTTCCGTTCCCATTTCAGCTTTGATAAGAACAAGGGAGCATTCTTGTAAAATGGCCCAGATGACCTTGTTTTCTGGCCCCTCACCTCCCTGGCCATGTGCTAATAGCTGAAAGAAAGGCTAGCTCCTAAAGTCACCTTTCCCAGTGTACCGTGGCTGTCAGCTGACATCCAGAATGCGTACATGAACCTTCTCAGAGAAGAAAGAAAAAGAAGAGAAGAATTGCAACACCTTGCCTTCTCTCTCCTCCTCTCTGTACTCTCCAGGCTGACAACAGCCTCAGACTACTGGAGGCTCACCATCAGGAGGAAAAATATTCCCTTGATCCTCAGGGAAACTGGCCAAAGTTAACCTTCCAATCCACTTGGCTAAAACATCTGGCTGAACAAAGAAGCCTCCGTCTCCCAGCCAAACGGCCCCTGGTCTGGGGAGACAGTTCCCACAGAAGCTGTGCTCTCCTGCCTGGGCCAGGCGATGTCCCCCTAGCATGGGGGTGAGGGAGGGAGGCAGTAATCTCCTGACCTTATGAGGTGACAGGGGAGTGTGAGAGGGCCTTTTGAAGGTGACTTGGTTCCAGGAAGCAGGCGGTTTCCACTAGTGACAGCCAATTTGAAAAGGTTTCTATGGTGCTAGACATTTGTGGGCAATTATCAGGTATTAATGAAAGTACAAATTCCAGGAAGCTTATCATAGGGAACCATCTGCTGACGAGCTTACTTTAATCACTTACCAGATCATTTCCTTTGCTGCTCTCGAGCATGCAAAGACTCTCACACAAACCACAGCAGGTCATTCTTTTACCACATTCTTATTTTCTTACCCAGAACTCTCACGTACCAACAGCCGCTTAGTTCCCTCTCCTTGGGTAGCCACACCCAGTCTTTCCTCTCCCCTTGTTATTCTGCATTTGATACATCTCAGATTTAAACCATGGGTCAGTTGATGACTGGGGCCAGCTCATTAAAAAAAAAAAAAAAGTCTGCTTTCTATTTTTTTTTTTAACCAGCAAGTGTTGAAATGGGAGAATTCCCTGAGACATAGAACTCTTAACGTTGGCTCCACAAATAGTTCTTTCAAAGAGCCTTGTTCAACTGAATAAACTTCTGCTGACTCACCCAGGGAGCTCACAACTTCCAGGAAGTTTGGTTGGCAACAGCCACTGGCTGCAAAATCCAGGCAATTGTTTCTCCATTATTCCATTACCAGTTGGCAGAGTAGACAAATACCCAAAACAGGAATTCCCCTTCCACATGAAGTCACAGAGACCACAGGGAGACCGTTGCTAATTCTACCTGGTCTCCCCTCCTGGTTTGCTGATTTGCTGAAATCCGAAAGAAAGAGACCACCGCTTGAAGTCTCGTTTTCCAAATGTGGCCTGGCTCAGGCTCCTGAATGTCATCTAAAACCTAACACTGCAGCAAATGTTGCCTCGAACTATCTTCTCGCTGGAACCAAAACACACTCAAAGGTAAATATGCCCATTCCAGGAGAGAATCTGCTTACTGAAGTTACAATGGAAAATTTACCTACATCCTCATTATCCTCAAGATCTTTCCTGAACACTGACTTGAGTGAAACATTCCAGGACATGACTGTCAATTCCTGAGAGAAACTGAACCTTTGATTTCTAGAGGCTGTGACTTCCATGTGGATCACCACATTATTGTATCATCACACTTCCTTTACCTCAAGTTAAAGAGTAAGAAATGTGCATCCGAGAAACACTGTTTAGCATTCGGAACAATTTCTACAACCATCGAGGGGAAACAAGTTCAATAGAAAACCAACTTGAACAAGTTTTTAGCCTCATCCTGAGCCGGCTGTCCAGAGAAAAGACCATCAAAGCAGACACTACCACGAAGTCCTAGCCCATTCTCCAATGTCAGGCATCTGACTAAGAACTAGCCTCATTATTCAATGGCATTTAATCAGTTATATACTTAGATTATAAGACTTGACAGCAGGTTTATGAAGAGAAAAGCTCTTCATTATAGGTTGGCTATCAAGTGTCTCCCAAAAGACTCATGAATTGAAGGCTTCGTCTTTAACTGATGACTTTGGGGAGTTCTAGAAACCCTGGAGGTACCAGAGGAAGCTGACCACTAGGACAGTGATGGGTAGAGGGCGGGTCTTGGGGAACTGTATATCTATCTCTCTGCTTCCTATCAGTTTTGAGGTAAGTAGCCCTCCCCCTCCCAAAAGGCTCCTGCCACCGGAGGCTCTACCCCAATTCACAAGCCCAGAATCAACAGAGCTAAGAACCAAGGACTGAAATATTGAAGTTGTGAGCCAAATACAAATTTTCTCAATTATTTGTCATACTAACATAAACCATGGAGTTTGATTGGCATATTCCATGAACTTTGTCTAAAGTTGACTATCTGGATATTGATTCTCTAAAATCCTAGTTAACATAAATCTGTTTCTTGAAAAGTGTCAGAGAACATTCCTCAAGGGATTGGGTTCCAATTTTAAGTGGTCAGAAAATCTCTGGAAACTGATGATATGAAAGAAAAGCAAAACATAAAAGTGTGTTGGGATCTTCATTATCTAAGAAAGATTGTTCTTAAGTATTAGATTCAATTAAAAATCATTCTTCCAAACAAAACAAAACCTCCCACAAGCTCCAAATAGACGTTCAGTGTAGCACTTAGAGGCCTTGTAGATCACTGGAGAAGGAACTAACCTTAGGTGAGCTGCTGAAATGGTCCTTCAAGAGAGCATGTACAAGCACTAAACAGCTGTGACAAGAGCTCCAACACAGTGGGCGTCTGGAGCATCTCCTAGCCATACCTAGGAGCTTTGACGAAGACCAACTCCACGTGCCTGTGTGCTCTCTCTACCTTACACTGTAGACAGGAAAAACCCAACGAGTGTTTGCCTTGAGACAGACATCCATCACTCCACTCACACTGATTTAATTTACTCTGCTTCCATAGCAACCCCACGAAGGAGGCATTTTCAAGAACTGGCAACTAAGGAAACCAAGACAAGGCTTAACAGCTTGCTATGTCAGTTTCTGACTGTTATTTGTCTGTCATACCTCCCTCATCACCCTTTTTTGCCTGTGCTGGTAAAATGGATTCAGGCCCCTGGAAAATTTTCACTTTGCGTGCTTGCCCAATATCAAAATTTGTCAGGAGGGGGTGCTGCAGACACAGGAGGGGGTGTTTGCCGGGCCAGCAGGAGCTAGGCCCAGACAGTGCACTGGCAGTGGCTTCTCTGAACTGTGAGCAAAAACCCTCAGGGAAGCGCCTCCCTGTGCGCTGCAGATTTCTGGAAAGTTCAGAAGGTAGATTTCCAGCAAGTTCCATCAATGTGGCTGCAGAGGAACTTCCCTGTCACCAGCTTGGCTGCATTCATTCCTCTCGACACTCTTCCTAGGGGAGTACCACTCATGTACCTGCTGTTCCTGGCTGCTTCCTCGGAGCTGCCTTTCCCTCACTAGCAGATCCCTCCCTATACCTCTTGTATGCTTAATGTGTCCAGTCATCTTTCTCACCTACCCCATGATTTTCCCACCCAGAGGCAGCTTGACACCCTTCTGCGGGTGTTATCAGACTGCCTGACCTGGCCTGGGCAACCATGGGACATGGAATCAAATTCTACTAAAGGGCAGAGTGTGCAGGGGACGGTGCCCAGACAGGACCTGAGCTCCTTTGTAAAGTTACCCATCAGACACCGAAAGGACCACAGTGCTCTGGAAGAGGAACCTAGGCAGTGGTACAGGAGGGAAGAGGAATGGGACAGGAAATGGACAGGGGTGTCTGCAGGACTCCTAGTCCATCCTCCACACTTCTGAGATACCCTGGGATCCCTGGGGTCCTGTTGCTACCCTGTTTCTACCCTGTCTGGAAGGCAGCCTCCCTCACTGGGCTCTAAGACACTGCAGTTTCCATGGTGGCCAGGGGTGGCGGCAGAGAACACTGCACTCTGGGGCTTTGGTGGCTAGCATTCCACACTGAGTGCTGTCAGCATTGCTCAGTCCAGATCAGAATATGTATCACAGACATATTTGCATTTCTGGTTAATTGCATTTATTTCCATTTATTGGTTGTAAAAGCTAGTTGATTCTAGCTCCGCGAATAAAACATTTATAAATAATGCTTGGAAGAACACATAGCAAAGGTGGAACCATTAAGGACATTTCACTTTTTGGGGGGGAGGGGGGCGATGCAGCAAGCACTGAAGTCCCCACACATTCAGTCAGCTCTGCCTTCGGCCCGCTGATGGCGACTCTTGAGTTGAGCAAAGGGAGGTGCTGTGGTTGGGTAATGGACGCGACTGCTGACAGCTCCCTGGTCTGACCATTCTGGGTCATGAAAATAAACCAGTCTACTTGCTCTTTAGTCTTTGGCATGTTGCCTTCTTATTTAAAAACAATCAGCCTCTAGGATGAGGTGGTTCAAGTTTGAGGTGATTTCTCAGGTTTTGAAGTTGCAGAATTTGAACAACAAAAACAAGGACTCTGGATCAAAAATACGATTAAAAAAAGCACTCCCTCCCCCTCCTCCAGAATCTAAGCACACTAAGTGGCTTTCTGCTGCGGTGAAATATCAGAAGCACAAGGGAAAGTCCAAAATTCCATCAATGAAGGGAAGGAAGCCTAGTGGGTTATTTAGGGTTGATTTCCCTGCAACAGATTGACTTACTTCATGGTCAATTATTGTTTCGGGTTTGTTTGGGTCATTCAGGAAGGGATACTTCCTGTAGAAAAAAAAATCAAAAGTTGTCATGTCTTGAAGACACAGCTAAGTTTAATGGCTTATCCATCTTGAAGTCTTCACGGCTGTGGGCACGCGGGTGTCAGGGCAGCCTGGGGTCACACTGCGTTTCTCTGAAGGAGCTGGTCCAGTAATTGCTGCAGGGGCAGGGGGCAGAGATGTCAAGTTCCGGTTCCGATCTCTGTGCCCCACACACCGCACCCGCTGGCCCAAAGCCATTTACCTTTTTGAAGACTTCAGCGCGGAGTCTGTTACTCTGTAAGATCACCCTTTTCTTCTGTTCTTCTTTTTTCTTTTTCACTTCTGGCAAGTTATTATAGATTCTGAAACAGATGCAAAGAACATTTTGACTGGCAGCCGACAGCGGGTGCCTGCAGTGGAGGGCATCCTGTCTTATCATTTCAGAGGGAGAACCCTGCATGTGGGCCATCTCCGCGTGGTGAGACACCGGCGCCGGGCTTCCTGATGTCCCCGGGACACAGCGATGTGGCGGGGGGCAGGACCTCGCTCGTCTCTCCGTTTCCTGGGGCAGTGCAACAGAGAGCTGGGGAGCCCAGGTATTTCGTTGGAAGTCACTTCCCTCATTTCTTCATTCCCAGTGATAAATGCTTACACATAAAGTGAGCGATCCTAAACCTACCGCTTGGCCATTCTGAGTATAAGCTTTCCCACTAGTGCCTTTGTCTGGCACCCTATTTTTGTCTCCCTGGGTTTTAGGAAAGGAAGCAATAGCTATGTGGGAGTAGCAAAAATTATAATGATGGACATTCAGAAATGCTTCTGTTGGATTTTTAATTAGGTTTTATTTTTTTCAAATACATCCCAGGCCAGAGTCTTAGGTCCTTGTCCTGATGTAAAATCAGGATCTTTTGAGTTCATGACAAGCAGGGGCCTGGGACTCTTCTTCCAGCTGCTGTGCCCAGTGGGCACCAATGCCAACCTGCTGAGCTGTGTTCCCACCAACTACAGCCTGAGCCCTTGGATTGCAATACCCATGGCATGCAGCTAAAACATCTTTCTCATTTTCTCTCATGTTTGAAAGCCAGACCAAATCTATTTAAGATGTCCTATGCTGAAAATAATGAGGACAAAGTAGAATAATGGTGATGAGGGCAGTATGAGCATGGGACATCTTGGATGCTGAACACTAGAGTAGTCACTTATGTGAATTAACTCAAACTCACTATATAGTTGGAGGAAGCATCTGGGGTTCCTGTGTTAAATATGTGAATAACTGGAGCCCAAGACGAGGAGGCTTGGGTAGAGTCCTTGGCTGGCTGATGGTGGGCTGAGGTGTGAGCCTTGATCTGTTTGATTCTTACTCACTAAGCGCCACTGTCACCTGGCCTAAATCTGCACACGAGACCTGGGAGAGGCGAGTGCTTGCCAGTGCCTACCACACTGTGGGCAGCAACATGGACAGAATAAACACAGACTAGGTAAATACTCAGTTGTCTAATCTAAAAAGGTCCAAAGGAGAAGTCCATAAAGCAATCAGAGAGAAACTGACATGGCCCTAAAGTGAACAGTGGGAAGCCTTTGGTATCCAGAGACCACTCTTTCTGATCCAAGAAGCCAAATAAAAAGTCTCAGTGACTACCCCTGTCACCCCTGTGTGCTCTCAGAGAGATTCCCAAATAAGTTGTGTACCCCCAAATAGACTCCACACAGTTGGCACCCCTCAATGGATGCTTCAGAATGTCAAAAGCCAATGTGGATAATAACCATCTTCTGATATGTAAAAGCTCCCAGACATATTATGTAGACTGACAATATGCACCGTGATGCCACTAGTGGTTAGAATAAATCACCATAGCTACCTCTTACAAACGGAAGTTGAATTTTCAGGTAGAGAAAGACACATAGCAGGTATCCTGGGAGGTAGGTCTGGGGCCGAGAAAAGGAGAATGGGATAGGATTCCAGCTTCATCTCCAGTGTTTGGGATTTTACACGAAAATGCAATTGAACAGTATAATTAAAACCAACTAATATAAAGAAATGACAGTCCTGAAGAGACTGTGGGAACCAGGACCGGATCCCAGCCTGGTACATTCCATGGAGTGGAGAGCAGCTCGGCTCCCCAGTGCATGGAAGACATCAGGGGCAGCCCAGCATGCAGCACCACCAGCGCCCGGCCCCACCAAGGAGATGGTCCTCTGGGCATCCATTGTTTCCTCTTCAGGGAAACAACAGGGCAAAGTCTCTCTATTAATGCTGCTTGAAGACCTGTTCTTTTAGGGGCTTCGTTGGAAATTCTGACTTTGGAGACTGAAAGAGGAAGACTTGCTGATTCCCCCCTCACTCCACCACCCCCCAGGAAAATAAAGGTAGAATGCTTCAATGTTGCTGATGCAACATTGCCCTGGAGAAACGGCACATCTTCAAACCTGGTGGTCCTTTGCAAGTCCCTGTTTAGAATGCTGTGAAGCAGATCTTTAACAGGAAGGGCTTGCAGCCTCCTTCCTCCACCAGCCCTGATTATCTCAGAAACAACACAGTCATGGTAAAACCAGAGCTTTGGGACCTGGAATGGAAGGGGTGGGACATTCTTCTGTGGCCGTGGTGTCTCTCAGCGCACTGTCAGTTTGCTTTAATTGTCATAATCCTTCCCCGTGCGGGGCACTTTATTATAACCTAATGACATTTTCTTTGCACGAGCAGTGGCCAACACTGCTGAGCTTTTACGTTCAGCTAAGAGGCCAGGTCCTAGGAAGAATGGCAGCCTTTGTGTGCACCTCGGTGGTGAGAATTACTGGGCGTCTTGGACAGCAACCAGCCAGGCAAGACGGAGAATGTGCCAGCAGTGGACTGCCAAGCCTGCTGGAGACAGAGCGCCAGGAAAGCTGGCTGTGGCCCCTCTGAGAGGGGCTCCATGGCTCCCAGTTTGGATTCCTTCCTTCAGGCTCTGCCACAATCAGGACCCTCAGGACAAGCAGCTTCTCTCCTTCCTCCTCGTGAAATCACCTTCAAAGGCACGGAGGCACAGCGCTCTTGCCCAGAGTGACGAGGTCAATGTGTAGAGGAGTTCCAGCTCACAGTCTGGGGATCACTCGGGGACCAATTACTGGATCATTCCAGAATCCAAGACCTACCACTTTCCTAACACTAGTCCAAGAGCAGCACGAACACTCTGAGACACAATTCTTCAGTGAGACTCATTTTAGCCAGTTTTTCAGATCTACAGCCAAGAGGACTTGAGAGCATAAATGTGGTCCTAGAAGTAGAGAGCCCCGCCAGACAGCGCCTGGATTCCCCACCCCCAGCCACTCCAGTCCCTCCCCAGCCCCTCAGCATCCCCTCACCACCACGCACCTCTTAGAGCGCATATGCATCTCCTTCTCGGAAATACACCTTTCTTTGGGTTTGAACAAGTTATCTGGAAGAAACGGAAGAGAATTTATTTCAGTAGGGATGGAATATCACTCCGGCAACACTGGAGTGGTCCAGGAAGTTCTCTGTGCTTTGTTTCTCCCCCTAAGCTGTAAGCCTGTGCAGGACTCGAGGATCATAAATGGTTGTGTTTTGACAACTAGCCAATCAGCTGCTGGCTTTAACAAGAGTTAGGTAGAACACAAAGTGCAATGCTGGCATCTGACCAACGCTGTGAAGCTGCTCCTCTTAAGCCTTCCTTTAGCAACAGAGACTTGTGGCTTGCAGTGGGGAGTGTCAGGTGCACTCACAGAAAAATTCCCCCGCTAGGTTTACGAGGCCTCTAAGGGCAGAAAACCTCTCCGCCATCCCCTAAGAGTTTTGAGACAAGCAGACTCTTCTTGTGCCTGCAGTCTTCTATCAAGGGGTGCTTGGCTACAAGATAAAAACACCATACCCCCCCCCTTTGCTAATGTTGGAAGATGGTGTCACGGACACCATCATGGTCCCCTATGCTCAGAGCAAGAACACTAACTACAAAAAAAATGAAAACAGGAATGCTTTTCAATGTAAGTACCTATTACTAATCGTTATGCTGTTTATGTATGGTACACTTAACAGTGGTATGTGTTTAATAATAACACTTCCTTTTTACAATAGCTGAAAAGGAACCTTTTGCAATGAAGTTGAAGTATCTAAGAGACTCTCAGCCCTTCAGATTAGCCAAGGGCCTGGCACACACATAAGCACAGCAGCTGCTATGCTTTCTAGAACACTTGAATGTAACCAGCTCATGGCGTTCACTTGGAATAAGCAAACAGGAAGCACTGTATTCTTGCTAAGCAGCACAGATAATCTATGACCTCCAATGAAAATATGGGTGTGTTTCTATTTCTCTCTCTCCTACACCCAGGCCTGTCCAGTGGCTCATCCATAACTTCTGTTATGGATGGATCAACCCATAACTTCTGAGGCTTGAGGATGTGTAGACTCTTCCAGAAATGTCCAAGAAGGTGGAAAAGACACAAAATCATCTAAGAAAGATCTTCCCTTCTGGAGAACAGAATACATCTGCTACCAAGAATCAAAGGAGAAACAAGAGAAAGAAATCAGGACATTTCCAAGACAGAGGAAATTCATTAGTACTTAGAAAGATCAGGGAGGCATGGAATCAGGGAGAAGACAACATCACTGTGAGACATAATTGGCCAAGATGACTCCCAGCTCCCCATCCTGGTATTGCCTCAATTCTAGACAGAGCCAGGCCAGAGCTGAGGGCATCTAAAAAGTCCCAAGAAGGAATCCATGCCAACTGAACCTGTCAGGATCTTACTGAATAGCAAGTTACTGCTTGAAGAATCTACTCAGAAGATCAAAGGCTGAGACTCCATTCTGGATTAGCATTCCTTAACAGCTGCTCCAGACAGAGTAGTGGATCCAAAGTAGACAGATGGAAAGTGTCTGGAGGGGATACAAATGTAACAAATTGTATTTGTATGATTTTTCACAATCTCAATTTAATTGTGTGTGATCTAGTCTAGAAATAGATTTTTTAACCAATTTATTTCCACAAATAAGCATTCTATTTTCTAGAGAGGAAAAAGAAGATATGAGCTCTCTGAAACTTCTGTTGTTTTCAGAACTCTTTAAAGCCTGCTGTGCTGGAGCAAAAAGTTCAGTTCAGAACCAAGCAGCCCACAGTAAGTGCAATACAAGGGGAACTACCAGCCGGTATCACCCCACAGCTGAGAGGGAAAGACAGAAAGGAAGAAGGAAGGAAGGGAGGAAGGGAGGGAGGAAGGGAGGGAGGGAAGGAGGAAAGGAGGAAGGAAGGAAGGGAGGGAGGGAGGGAAGCAGGGAAAAGATACTGACATTCCTGGAGCAAATAGGTGAAAGATAGTAAGTGCTCTGCCAATGTTTTCCAATCTCACCAGAGTAGGAAGAACACTCCTGTCTTGAGTAGCTCTGGGCACATTGTGCTGGGGGGTGGGTAGTCAGGAGGGGAAGGAGTGGTATTATACAGCTGAGTTGTCAGAGTGCTGATTTGCAGTGATCCTGCTAGTGTGTGTGTGTGTGTATGTGTTCTTTTCATATCCTGACACAGTCTCACGATGTGGATGAGTCTTCATACTAAACCTGTGACATGCCAATGGTTGCTTGCATCTGAGCGCTGAGGTCATGGATGTTGGAAAGGGCAAGTGTTACTGCTCAAGTTCAGACTGTGAAGGCCTGAGGACCAGGGTGGGGCTTCAGCTCCTATCAGCCCAGAATCACCCACACCTGGCCTGAATCTTAGACCACTGTCCAGAGTCTCAGCCACAGAATGCATATTTCCAGAGCCTTAACCAAGTATGCCTGTCTTCCCTTGGAAGATGGGAATTCACTTCTCACATGTCCCTTTCTCCCAGGGATTTCCAAACTAGTATCTCCAGATGATTCTAATATACACCAGAATTAGGAGCCACTCACATTGGATTTTGTACTTTACATGCCTATTAAGGAATTTGTCTCCAGAGCAAGAGAGATGGAGAGTCACAGGGAGATCTGACTTTTAGTGCTTGTAGCTGGTGTAAATCATTCCTCAGAACATGAAGGGGGTCTGGGAGAGGCACCCATGTAGCAGGGAGGTCTGTGGTAGAAAATGGCGGTTCTCAGTGGGGAGGGTAGCTATGAGACCCAGCACACTGGGATTGTGGGCTGGAACAAAGCATCATGACTCCCAGGCTTTGGGCTAAGCAACCTATTTACTTGACAACTGCCAAGCTTTTATGTCCTTGGCATTAGGAAGAAGGGACATGAAGATAAGTAAGACGAAGAGCTCAGAGCCCTGGATGAGAGCCAGAGTAGGGCCTTTACGTGCCAGAACCAATGTCTGTATGGGGACAGAAGAGATCTCATGGAGGAAGGTCAGACAGGCCTGACCCAGGGCGAGACCAGCCCACTGCAAGAGCTGGATTTTGGAGGGCATGGGTGGCATGCATTCTAAGACAACCAGGCTGATTTCAAGTATACAGTTGGCTGTACTGACTCGGTGATTTCCAGAATTTGAATTCAGTTATAGGCACATCATTTCTACTTAGCTCACTGGGGTAGAACCTCTAATTCATTTGACATAGACAATAGTAGTGGGGTCTATCTTACTCTAATTAGCTATCCAGAAATCAAATAAGACCTTTCTACACTACAGAGACATGGTAAAGTCTCACAGGTGGTATGCCTCTGAAGTGCTCTTCTGATGAGAAAAGCTTGTGGAGGATTTTTCTCTAAAGCCGCTTCTTCTTCTGTGGGATCCTCTCTGTGGCAGTGAGTAGCTCGTCGGGAGGTCTGGAGGGGGAGTGGAAGCCCGCATGTTGGCATGTACATGAGACAGAGGGCACTGTCATAATTGGGAAATGCAAGATGCAATTTCTGGCCTAGCCATGTGCAAGGCCTTTGTTTCGTCTTGAGCCTCACCAAAGGAGCAAAACAAACAAAACCTCAGCATGCTGCTGGCATGGAAACAGACATATGGACCAGACTGAATAGACAATCCAGAAATCAGCTCATGCCTCTGTGTATGACTGATCTTTGATGAGATTGCTTCTGCACACTCCTTTTTAGAGAACAAAGCGGGAAGGGGTCTCTGGGCAAGCCGTGTGAACTGTCCTCCAAGGTACGGGCTTCACTCCTGCGTGCAGGGCTATCCCGTGAGCGAGGAGCTCGGTCAGCATCTCAAGGCCTCCAGGCAGTCTGGGAGCTGGGCTGTTACCAGATGGGCTTCACAGAGGCTCTGCTTCCTTGGGGAGGGCACTGCTGAGAGGGGTCTGCTGTGGCCTCAGCAGTCCAGGGGGGTGTCTTGCATATGCTCCCTGGATGCAGGTTGGCACAGGGGGCCTGGGCCACAGCGGTGAAGAGAATCCTAGTCCCCACAAAAGATATTTCTTTAAAAAGAGAAGTGGACTCTGCTCTGTCATCTTGAACCTTGAGCACTGACCTCAGCCCCCTTCCTCTGACTGCCTAGGGGTCTCATCTTCTATGATTCCATGCTTGGAATCACACAGCTGTCTACTTGCCCAACTCTCTCTCTCTCTCCAAGTAGCACACAAGGCCTCCAAGGACAGAGGAGTCTCTTCTTGTATTCTGCTCTGCAAACCAGGGCTCTGTTCCCTATCTCTCTCTGCAATCGATGTCCCTGCTTCTTTACCCTTGGCCGTGAGACACAAGATGCTTGGTACATGTGGTTTATATGTACTCTGTATTATAGGTATGCTTATATGTATTCGTATGTATTGACTGGTTACTCTTCAAGGAATCCAGCAAGGGACAAAGCGATCTGACAATGTTAGCTCCCTGGGACTGCTTAGACAGTCAGGCCCACACCAGCTCTTAACTCACATTGCAGCTTGCCAAAGGTTTGTGAGACCATGAGCTGGGCTCGCATGAATTCCATTCACCGGTGTCAGCAGCATCAGAAACTCTCCAACTAAGTCAGATCCCTACTAGACCCCAGGTACCCCAAAGAGAACCTCAATAAAGGGTTCCTGTCCACTGACAATAAAGTGTAACCCTGACACCCCCCCACCCTAGGAGCTCTGCGACAGCAATATCCACAGGTCGTAGGAAAACAATATGGGAGCTTTGTTCCCCCTCTGGGATTCAGTAAGGGTCAGGGGCAGTCCTTAGTGACCTCACTGGATGTGACACAAAGTTCAGCTTCTTTCTGCTTACATAATGATCATGTGAGCATTAGGAAGTTAAATGTGATGCTTTTACGATGCCCATATGGTGGTTCTTTTGATTTGCCTGACTCATGGTTACTTCAGAAGACCTCAGTGAGTGCAATTCTTTGCCTGGGGCTCTGTGCCCAGCCCAGGCTACCTGAGCGCTAAAATATCACTTCCTCCCCGACTCAGCAGGGACACGGAATCTGCTTTAAAGTTTCCTAGGACTCTTGGGAACAGTATGTCTAAGTGTGTCCCATAAACTGTGGAGAAGCTACAGGAACTATCAACTACCATTCCCCAAATG